AAGCAGCAAATAAACTTTGTTTAATATATTTATTTTTTTTCCTGCTGCTGCTGCTGCTGCTGCTGCTGCTCCTGCTGCTGCTGCTGCTGCTGCTGCTGCTGCTCGTGCACGCCGCTAGTATACCGCCGCTAGGTAAAGACCTATGGTGCTGCAGCACATAACCTTCAGCAGTATTAATAAACACAAAAGCAGAGAAAATGAGGTGTATATACACTGTAAATAATAAAAATAGCAGCAGCAGCAGCAGCTGCTGCTGCTGCTGCTTCTGCTGCTGCTGCATATACACCATAAGGCTCTCGTGTGTGTGTGTGTGTGTGTTCAGTAGCTAGCTGGGCGTTCTTTGTTTTTTTTTGTATTTTTTATATAAATTCTAGTAAATAAAACAATTATTTTATTAATTTATTCATTTTTTTTGTTTCTTTCTCACCAAAGAAAGAAGAAGACAGATAAAGGATAACTGCGGCGATGAGCTGCAGCAGCAGCAACAGAAACAGACAGAGAGAAAACACAAAAAACTAAGCAATAAATACCTCTTTTTTTTGCTTTTTTTGAGTTTATATTTAAATAAAATTAAATTTAATTTATTTTAAATCAAAATTAAACAAAAATACACCCAGAAAGTACAAACAAAAGAACAGCAGAAGCCCTAGCTGTACATACACCACAAGCGAGCACGCACTCTTTGCCTTGCATGCACCTGCATACGCCGTTTATGTATAATAAATAAATAAAAAATAAATATTAATTAAATTAATTAATTAATTACTATTTATTTATTCATATTTTATTTTATTTTATTAATTTATTCACGCAAAAGAAACAAACCAGACACAGACAGGGAAGCGATACAAACGATATATTATTTTATTTAAAATAGCTGCAACAAACCCTAAACCCTAAACCCTAAACCCTAAACCCTAAACCCTCAAAAAAAAAGAAATAAATGCAAGCCAGAGAAAGAAGTGTATACAGAAGTAGCCTTCACTGAGCCTGTGTCTGCTGCATATAAATAAAAAATATAAAACTTTTATTTATAACTGTACTCAGCAGCAACGCATGCAGCAATGGGGCTTTGCTGCTGCTGCATCGTCTGCATGCATGCAGCTGGATTGTATTGTCTGCTGCAGCGAGGCTCCTCAGCTCCTTTGTGATATTCTTACTTTAATCGTTGCCTATCCTGCACCTCGCTTCTCTCCAAACCCTAAACCCTAAACCCTAAACCCTAAAATATATTTGCTGCCCTTTCCCTAAACCGGCGCTAAACCCTAAACCCTAAATCCTAAGGGTCTGCACAGAAACCCTAAACCCTAAACCCTAAACCCTAGACACGACCAAACCCTAAACCCTAAACCCTAAGGACCCCAGAGAAACCCTTCACCGTAGAGCACTCTGAACACAATACATAAACCCCTAAACTAAACCCTAAACCTAGAAGGGTTTATAAGCAATGGAAAACCCTAAACCCTAAACCCTAAACCCTAAACCCTAAACCCTAAACCCTAAACCCTAAACAGTAAACCGTTGAGAAGAAACCGCCATATGTTAAACAAAATGTTTTTCACTAGACTTTTGCTTGATCCTTTTTAATAAAAATTTTCAGCATTGAATGCATCACGAAGCCCCCTGCTGCTGCTGCTGTTGCTGCAGCTGCAGCAAGAGCTGCACCAGAAGCTGTTGCTGTAACAGCAGCAGCAAAAGCAACCACCCAAACTAGATACTATTGCTGCTGCTGCTGCTGCATCACGCGGTGTTTCTGTTGCTGCTGCAGCATCGCCTTACTACACACAGACAACAAAAACCACCGTCCCTGCTGCTACTTACACAGGCGGCAGCAGCAGCAAGAGTTAGCATCAATTATAATGTATATCGATACTTTATAAATGTCAGTTTCTCTTCCTTCTATTTCGTCTTCATTGCAGAAGAGGTCCTCGGTTATTTGTATTTATCTATCTGTTTCACTATTTTTTTTTTTNTTTTTTTTTTTAATATTTTGTTTTAATAAAAGCCATTTATAACATCCAAATGATGGGTATTCATTCATTTGTTTAAGCATTAAACACAATCCCCCTGCATATGCTCTTCCTCCTTCCCTCCTGTTGGTGTTTCTTCTCCTGCTGCTGCTGCTTGTGCTGCTGCTGCTGCTGCTGCTGTTGCTGCTGCTGCTGAATACCAACCACTGTTCATACCAAAGTTATATAATATTTTCCAGCTACATCAACTACACCGCGAGAAATTTCGGGGTTTCTCCTCCTCCTGCACGCTACAGCGGGCACGTGAATCCACTACAACCAAGTCGCCTGGGTTGAAAGTACAGCTGAACGTCGTTTGTCGTAGTTTCTGTCTCGGCATTCTTTTTCCTTTCTCATGCATTCTCTCGCTGCTGCGAGGTGCATGCGAAAGTCTGAGGCAGCAATCATTTGGGGCTGGCTTTCAACAGCTAGCTGCAGTGTCTAGGCAGCTAGTGGAGTTTCTGTGTAGAGCAGGGATGCCGGGGTGCAGCCAGTTGAGAAGCTTAATGTTCTATTATAAACTACTTCCGCACGAGCAAGAATATGAAGCCAGCTAGATGAGTTCTGTTGGGTTTAAAGCCCCAAATACTGCACATGCATGCGGTTAGCTCGCTCCGTCTGAGCCCCTGCCCCCAGGTAGTTGGCGGTGGAGATGTTGTGGTCAAAGCTGATGCATGCGCATCGGCGGGGCTGCGCCAGAAGGTGCTAAGAAACTTCGGACCCCTCTCAGTGAGAAAACTTTTTTATTTTTTATGAGAACCCATGGAGCATCCCCGTATGAGTGATGAATAGCTGAGCAACTCCTTCTGCTGTGACGGTGCTGGAGCAGGCTATAAAACGAGTGTATTTGCTAAGCCGATCCATCACTCTATCATGGCATCTGACCAGTGGTTAGTCCACCAAGAAATCCTCTCGGGAGTTGAAAGCTTTGTACGGGTCCGGCGTTGCGGGGGTTCCGCGGCTTTTGCTGCTGGCAGGCCAAAGGAGACAGAAGGTATTCAACGAGAGAGGGCGAGCAAGCAACTCGCTTTCTATAAAGAGGAGAGAGACAGATCCCGAGGGGACTGGTCTGAGCTACTCACCTGCATGCGCCACCACAACCATCGTTAAGAAAGAGAATGATGGAATTGATGAACAGAGAATACAAATGGTATTCAACTACCAAGAAGCTTTCAGTGCTCTCACGGTAGCCTGTCTCTTTCCTCTACCCCTATCCATATCATTCTAGAGATATTAGTACAAGCTAAACTTTTTCTACATTTGACCCGAAAGCGGGTTTCCCTCAGATTCAGAACACTAAAGAGGAGAGGTGAAAGGCTGCTTTCTGCTCTGAGCCGTATCGTAGTAGCAGCTGAGCGAGGTGTTCACTACAGCAGCCCCGCCGTAGCATGCACTCAAGCCAAGCCCGCCTAGCATGGCCTGGCAGGGGCAAACCACGCAGCTGCCGCAGCGGGGGAGCAGCGGGAGCGAGCCATGCTCATGCTGTTACTGATGCTGCTGGGTTGGAGAGAGGTGGTACGTTCTCCTTGTTGCTCTCGTATTCCTGTTGCAAGCATTACCGCCTCGGCTTACTGCCGCCGTACTGATACGCAGCAGGGAGCCGTCTGATGTAACCACCATCGCCGTGAATCCCCTTCTAAATATAAGGAGTAAGCCAATAGTAGTAACTGAGATTCTCCTGGTGCACTTTGTAGGCGAAGGTGTGAATGTAGGGAACTGAGAAACTCTTCTGCATCCCTGTTCTCATCATACCGCAATCGTCAGCACTGTCGGAGGCTTTCGTGAAAAACCCTTCTCCCTCAATTTGCTGCTGAACACCAGCTTGCTGCTGCGCGGCGAAGCTCCAAACCGTGCGCCGCTGCACCCCCCCCTCCCCCGCTGGCTTNCCCCCCCCCCACCCACCAACACCCCCCCTCCCCCGCTGGCTTGAAGGCAACTCATGATCAGTCTTTACTGGGGCGAAAGGGAGCGGCTGGACCTCTAGGATAAATTCTTTAAGAAAGATAAAAGCAGTTTGTTTTTCTGTTTATTCTCTATTTTAGTATCATCCGTGCACAAGACCACCTGCCTCCACGCTGTAGCTTATTCCTCTCACCTGCCCCCGAATGAAGCCA